CCTGGCGAGGTGAGGGGGGAGCCGGGCAGGGCAGGTTCTGCCCCCTGGTGAGGTGGGGGGAGCCGGGCAGGGCTGGGCCTGTCCCCTGTGGGGGGAGCCGGGCAGGGCTGGACCTATGCCGGGGCTGGTGGGGGATCTGGGGCTCCGAGGGTGTCCTGGTTCCTGCCCCCAGGGAGGCCATTGGCTCGTTGAGCCCCTTGGTTTGCCAGGTGTTCTAGGCAGGCCTGGTGGGGTGGGGGCTCCCCACTGACCAGTGCGGCTCCTGCAGGCCTTCGTGGAGCTGTACAACCTGACTGCCGACCCCCACCAGCTCCACAACGTGGCCCGGAGCGTGGACCCCACCCTGCTGGAGGCTTTGAACCAGCGGCTGATCAAGCTCCAGGCCTGCGAGGGGCCCAGCTGCCGGGCCTAGGGGCGCCCGCCTCCGGCTGTGCCAGGAACCCGCCCGCGAGTGCCAACAACTCAGCACACGTTAAACACCCAGGGCTGGATGGGCCCTGCCCCCCTCCTCCCCAACCTTGGCCCCTTCGCATGCTGCCCGGAGCCCAGCGCAGGATGCCAGGGGGCCCTGGGGCTGGATAAAGGGGCTCCCCCAGCCTGAGCCTGGACAGGGGTCTCAGCAGCCACCCCCCATTTGCTGCCCCCATATGGCAGGAGTATTTGCCCCAGACTCAGGCTCTGCCCTCAGGGATATTTCTGTCCTCACCCATTTGTAGCTGTGCCTGCTCCACCCAACATCCTGTGACATGAAGGTGAAATAAACTCTGGTTAGTAGAAGGGGCTTGGCTGTTTGTTTGCGGGTTCCTCCCTGGGGGCTCGGCCCCTGGGGGAGGGGGCTCGGCCCTGCCACCCCAGCTGGGCAGCTGGCAAGACATCAGATCCCCCGTGAGCCTCATCAGGGAGCAGGAACCAGCCTCCCTCGCTCCCCCGCAGACTCCTCCAGCACCTTCCCCCTCTTCCTCCCCCATTGCCCCAGGCCAGATCCTGGGGCTCGGGAGGGGGCAGGAGGAAAGGGACTCGTGGCGGGGGGGGCAGATTCTGCTCCTTCCTGTCTCTTTCCCCCCTCCCATTGCTCATGCAAATCCCCGGCACAATGCGGGTTTGTGCCCTTTGGGCCATTTGCATCCGTGCTGCTGCTGGGCTGGCAGGGCTGGTCTGCGTCTCCCAGCATGGTGAGTCCAGGGAGCGCTGGGGGATTTGGGGGGTCAGAGAGCAGGGACTGCGGGGGGCAGCTCCATGCAGGGATGGCTTAGGGGTGTGAGCACCTTCGGGATCCCTGAGCCCCAGCTCGGCTGGTGCCCCCCACTCCCGACCCGCAGCCCCTGCTAGCCTGGCCCTGGGGTCTCCCCTCACTTCTGGTGCCCCTCACTCCTGACCTGCAGCCTCCTGTTACCTTAAATCCTGATCCTGCCCCCCCCCCAGCTCTACTAGTGCCCCCCACTCCTGACCCACAGCCCCTGCTAGCCCGGCCCTGGGCTCCCCCCTCACTCCTGGGGCCCCTCA